GGCTGTGCTATTTGCACGCTGTTTAGAGTCAGAATCGGAAGAGAGCTGGAAGGGACCTTGGAGGTATTCTAGTCCAGCCCTCAGCAGGGCCACAGTCCGAGGCTCTGGACTCCCCAGGCAGCCTCAAGCAGGATTCTTGTAGCCGCATCAGTTTGTCTTGCATAACGCTGTCACCTGCTTGTGCATGGAAGCGGTGGCCGCAGCAGCAGGGACGGGGCATTGAGGCCTGGCGAGGCTTCAGCTTCACGCCTGTTCCTTCTTGGTGCAAAGGCGCTGTGGGATGGAGCTGGCAATGTCTGCCCTGGAGACCGCAAAGAACAGGCTTTCCCTTCAATCCAGGCTGATGGGGCTCCGCAAGGCTGCTGCTTGCCCGGTTTGCGGGCCAGGTTAACAGAATTGGAAGGGACCTTGTAGGTCATCTAGTCCAAACCCCCCGCCCAATCAGGAGACCCTACACCATTTCTGACAGAGTGCAGTCCAGTCTCTTCTTGAAAGCCCCCAGGGATGAAGCTCTCACAGCTTCTTTATAATAGAATAACAGAGTTGGAAGGGACCTTAGAGCAATGTTCCCTCTAAGCTGCGCGGCCGCACACGTGGCAACAAAACACCACGCAGCAGTTTCCAAATGCCGCGCAGTGGTTTTTGTGAGATGCCTTCCACCATAATAGGAGAGGAGAGCCAGCCTGGAGACAGCAATCTAGGTCCACAGAGCAGAAAGTAAGTAGCTCAGAGAAGGGGCGTGGGGGTTGGGAGAAGGTATGGGACGGGCTCCCAGCAGCGGCTGCTCAGATTTGCCAGAGAGGGAGGGAGACAGAGAGACAGAGAGAAAGAGTATCCCTCCTTCCTTCAGCCCAACACTCTCGCTGGCATCCTGGCCAGATGAGAGGGACTGCAGAGGGTCTCCTCGAGTCTAGGGCAGCGAGGTCATTCGATGGGAAAGTTGCCCCTTGGGAGGAATGACCCAGATTGGCTCCCGCTTCATCTCTCCTGCCTCATCTCTCCTGCCTCATC